TGGACTATGTGCGTTCCGATGCATTAGTAGATTTTACTGGATGAAAAGAGGTGCATAGCGTGAGTTCTTTGTAAAGGGAAAAATCCACAATTCCAAAAAAAAAAAAAAAAAAAGAAGGGAAAAAGGTTTAAATTAGAACTGCTGCAAAATGACCTTTAAGTTTGACTCTGCATGAACCAGGGGAAAAGAACAAAGCAATTAATGTATAAACATGCTAGTAATTAAGTAAAAAATGTTTTGAATGAAGAACTCACCTAGATTCTAGACATTGGCAGTTATCAAAGGAGATGAAATGCCACTAAATGAGAAAACAACATTAATTATTTTTTAGAAGGGAACATGCATATAAGAGGATGAACCTCATTCCTGTGAAGATGACTGAAATAGACAGAGGGACAAATTTCACTCTCCTATGCACAGATTCCCTTCTAAAAATGGATTAACGTTGCTTCCTCATTTAAAACCTCCTTTGATGACTCAGCCAACATCCAGTAATTTTACTTTGTGCTTTGATTAACAGGTATGTCTTGCTTGAAAAAACCTCAGTGATTCAGTTCCTTGACAAAGGATTGTGAGGTCTTCCCACTGGTATTAACATACTTTGCACTGGTGCACCATACATTCTCTCTCAGCTCCTGGTATTATCACAGGAATACTAAGAATTAAGAAAACCTTTTCCTGGACACTTCGTGGCTGCAGCATTTTGCCTGCTGAAACCAAAAATTCCACACAGTAAGGAGCACAGCTTCTTAAGTATTTTATTGCTATTGAGCAATTAACTATAACTACACCACTTCTCATTTAAGTTTTCCATTTTTTTAAAGACAGAACATATTAATGGCTACTCCTTGAAGAATACAGTCTTTGAGATGACACAGATAGTTTTGCTCTTTTTAGACAAATTTTTGGGCAACTAACCCAAAACTTAAACATCAGTAGAAAAAAATCTAGGTTCTAAGTGACAAAAATGACAAAATGAACAACAACTTCTCAATGATCCTTAAAAAAAAAAAAAGGAAAGGAAGGGCCAGTGGGAACCAGACTGTCTTAGCTTAACTAGACTGTTAAATCTGGTAGGAAAGACATTTCAGACTGCTTCAACTTTTGTCTGTAACAAAATAAGGAAATGTTTTATTTGCCAGGTAACTAATGTTGTAAGAAGCAATATATTTCAAAAGGCATTTTAATGTTAGTACAGAAGATCAATCAAGCAAGTAAAGACAGCTCTCTATACAGTTACCTGTACCAATCTAAAAAAGACAGGTCATGTAATTGGTTTCCTGATTGTTATTTATTACAGCAGATGAACCTATTTGCTGTCTGTAGTATTTCTCGGAATTTTCTATATTTAGAAATCAGCCCTAAATGCAGTTATCAATGATGAAGAAATACTGAAGTGAAGAGTCTGGATTTGTTCTTTACAAGAAGTTGGATGGATATGATGTGTTAAATTGTTCTTTCAGTTTCATTAGCCTCCTTTACCTCTGACCAAACATCCTTGCAGAAGATAGACAATTGTTTTATATAGTAAAGCTTAGTGATATGCTCTTGCAAGAAGATTTAAAGAGCAACCAATATACCTTTAAAACAAAAGCAGATAATGTTAACTTTCCTGCAGTAATACTTGTTTACTTGCATGCAGTCAGTTCTGATTACAAGCCAAAGGTTTTTTAAAAGATAAATAATCACATTTCACTGAAATTACTTTTGTTCTTTAAAAGCTGAAACCAATATATTACAACTCCTAAGCCTATCTTACAAGTAAAATCAAGGTTGGGATTTCTTCCCCATGGAATCAAGCACACTTATATTTCCTTTTAAGGGAGCAAATATGTTTGTATAAGCATTATTGTTGTGTTGTTTCTCTATAACTAGAACATTTGCTGTTTAATTATGTTCTAATGGTTTCTCTCTCTTGAGAGCCTGTGAAATGACATGCAGTATATCAAGGCTAGGAATGAATGCTGGGGGTAGGGTTTTTAATAGGAGTTTTACCACTGACTTCAACTGAAGAACAGACATACTCTATTCATTGGAATCCAAGATGAGGTGCTTCTGCTCCCCCATTTAACAGGGGAGGAAAAGGGCCCCTCATCTTTGATTTGAGTACAGAAATGGCAGAGGGTGGGGGTTAGACAGGCACCTGCTGCAACTCCAACTCTGGCCCTGATCTGAGGTTTGAGTATGTGCTGCAGTACCCTCCTGGCGCCCACAGTCTTCCTGCCACCACCACTGCTGTCACTTTCCACCACAGCTCTGCCTCCAGCCCTTCTCTGGCCCAGCCACATGCAGTGATTGCAGCTCTGACCCTGGCCCCTGGCAGGGAAGAGGCAGCAGAGGCAGGGCAGGAGGTGCAAATGCCAGGACTGCAGGCACTAGAATGGGGGTGCAAGGGCCAGGGCACACAGGCACTTGTTGGGGAGGGCAAAGGCTCCCTGAGTGCCTGCCTCCCTACTACCATTTTACCAGCCAGGGGGATGAATTTAAGATGACCCTCCAATACTTTGATTCTGTACATGGAAAATTAAAACTAACTTATAGATTTTCCATGTAGAGGATATAATTGCTGGGGATTTGTTGTAAAATTTGAAGTTGTCTTGGATTTGGGTAAATACAGTAGTTCAAGTTGAGTGGCTTTTGAAAAATCTCACCACTGTACACCGATTAACAATCTATGGGTAATACACAGTAACAGACATCTGTGCACATTCCTAGTTTGCACTGGTTAAAACCGCGATGTAAAAATATCTAACAAATAATGGTTTTGAAGTGCTGATTAGCAGGGATCCTGGTTTTCTCTGACAAAAAAAATCCCCAATTTTCAGATTTAAAAAAGCAACCCAAAATTCACATTTTTCCATGACTAAAATGAAATGCCACTATAGTGGCACTACTGTGGATATATACACTATATACTATAGTGGTATTTCATTTTAATCATGGAAAAATGTTGATTTTGGGTTACTTTTTTAAATCTGAAAATTGGGGATTTTTTTTTATCAAGAAAACCAGGATCCCTGATGATTAGGCACTGGCCTGTATTGGAGCTGAGTCACATCACCTAAGCAGGAGTTAAAAAATATGTATGGGTAGCATGGACTCAGCACTGTGGGCAGCAAGTACCCCACGGGGCAGCTTTGGTCAAAAATATTTATGACCTGTAGGAAGGCAAAAAGGCTTATCTGGACAGATATAGCATAGGGGTACAGATTCTTTAACTTCTCCTCATCTTGGTACATCATGCATGGCCAAGATAATGTTACTGCAAGACAGATATTTAATCTTACCACTGCATTGCGCTCAACCCGAGATCGTATTTGATCTATTTTGCCCTCTTTAACTCTAGGAAATATTGAAGAATCTGCTCCCTTACAAAAGAGAAAAATGTCACCTAAAAGACACAAAATAAGGAGTTAATATGGTTGCAATGTTTTGGGATTTTTTTCCCCAAATACATGCTTTACAAATGAACAAATCTTAATTTGTAAACAAGTCTCCACATTTTTTTTTATATACCCTCTATATGAACACTGGCTTGAGAGTCATAATTATCAGTTTAAAATCCCCACACTTCACTGAAAATTGATGTGGACCAAAGTGTGAACAGAAGTACACTTAGGAGGCCACAAGAATTCAAAATCAAGACAAAGATCACAAACACAACTAAAAAAAAGACAGAATGTGATTTCTACCTGTTGCCGATTTAACAATTACACTCATTCGTCTCCTTACAGAATCAAAACTCAAAGTCTCTAGTAATTCAAACCTGGAAAAGAAAACAAGTACATTTTGAAGTGTTCTCATTTCCTCTCTCTCCCCTTAACCTCTACCCCACCCGGTTACACTTTTTATTGATGCTAGAAAACAGTTTACAACTACTGCTTTACAATACAAAGTAAGCAAAACTAGGTTCAGGAATTAAAAGGTCTTGTCCCACATGGCCATATTTGAAACCACAGTTAGTGCAAGTGGACTTTTGGCTACCATGTCAAAGTAAATGATTCACAGAGATCCCAGCAAACTGCTTATGTTCTTGGGGGGGGTCCATAGAAACTTCAGTTTTGCCAATAAAGTTCTCCCCCTCTATGCGGCACTGGTCAGGCCACAGCTGGAGTACTGCGTCCAGTTTTGGGCGCCGCACTTCAAGAGGGATGTGGACAACATGGAGAGGGTCCAGAGGAGGGCCACTCGCATGATCAGGGGGCAGCAGGGAAGGCCTTATGAGGAGAGGCTACGGGACCTGAACCTGTTCAGCCTCCACAAGAGAAGGCTGAGGGGGGATCTAGTGGCCTGTTACAAACTAGTCAGGGGGGACCAGCAGGCATTGGGGGAGTCCCTGTTCCCCCAAGCATTGCCAGGAGTGACCAGGAATAACGGTCACAAGTTGGCAGAAGGTAGATTTAGGCTAGATATCAGAAGGCGCTACTTCACGGTCAGGGCAGCTAGGATCTGGAACC